CCAAATACACAGCTCTGATATTTTTAACTTTGTGTGATATTTTAATAGCCAGTTATTTTTAAAGAAACTTTGATTTGGCATATATTATAGACAGTTTTTGTAACTGTTAATCTTAGACATTGTGAACTTTAATATCAAATACATTATCTTTTAATTCTTATCCTCTATATGCCTATAGACCTTATTAGGACGTTTTAAAACTTATAAACACATTTTAGTTTTTTATTTTATGAACATATATATATATATATATCAATTTTATAAATAAATCTTCACTTATTGAAATATTTTTACTTTTTATCATCATATAAATTTTATATTTAATACCAAAAGACTTTATATCTATATAGACAGCTCCCCCCTTTTTATATAAAATTTGCTTGAAAGGCCTTATTGGAGCAAATGTCCAATGAGATTAAGATGAGCAGAGCCCCTTAGTGGCAGCAGTTTTGAATTTTTGCTGTCTAGTTCTCTTTGTTGGTATGTTCGTGTTATATATCATGTAAAACTATCAAAATTAAAACAAAATGTTAAAATCATAAAATCTTTTAGTTAAAGGAAGCTAACTAAGGTAGTTAAAAGAAGAAGTAGGGTTTGTGTGTGTGTGTGTGTGTGTGTGTGTGTGTGTCTTTACTGTTTGTTTGCTTGTTTTTATTTTTTTTAAGAAATGAAGAAAAGATGGGCTGTGGTGGAGCACCCCTTTAATCCCAGTACTTGGAAGGCAGAGGCAGATGGATCTCTATGATTTTAAGGCCAGCCTGGTCAGCTAGTTCTAGGACAGCTGATGGCTGAGGCTAAACAAAGAAACCCTGTCTCAAAACAAAACAGGCATGCAAGGAAGGAAGGAAGGAAGGAAGGAAGGAAGGAAGGAAGGAAGGAAAAGGGAAAGAGAAAGTTAACTTTTCCATCTCCTTAAGGAAGGTTACCAGCTCTGGTCCAGTGTTTATTTTGTATTTTCCTATTAGTCTTTTTCTTCTCCTTTCCCCTGTCATAGTCATAAAACCGGTTTGGCCCAAGAAAGGGAGTAAATATACAGAGGAAAAAAAACATGCTTGAATATGAAATGGGAGGGCTAAGCTCCAGATTTCAGAGGCAGCATTTCCACTCTAACAGAAACAGGACAAGCTGACAGCGGTGCCGACTCTGCTTTACAAGCAGGGGTTCACTAGCCCTACAGCATCCAAATTTGAACTGGTAAAACCCGACATGCTGAAATGAAAGGAGTGGAAACAGAAAGGATGCTTCACGTGGGAAATGTTCTCAACATCTGGCATGCTGAAGTGGTTTGAGTCTGTCTCTGTCCCTCACCTCAGGTATTTTGCCCCACCTGCCCTGCTTGGAACCCAGCTGCTCCTTGAAGACCTGCTGCACTGAGGTGGGGGGCAGGTCTCCCAGGAAACCCTAGGTGGGGCCACTTTACCAAGGAACCAGGTGTTCTGTTGCCCCTTGAGCAGGCATCCAGCCTGCTCAGCCTCTGCCAGGGTGTTTCAACTGCCCTCCTCTTTTTCCCTGCTGTAGTGGGAAAAATCCAGAAAGATCAAGCAGGTGTTTTGCCCAAAATATCAGGAGGCTTTGGCTCCTGCAGCTTCCCCAAATGAAGAGTGGAAGGCTTTAATAGAAGACCTAATAATCTTGTATGATAAAAGAGGAGGGGAACTTGCCTCAGATAAATGAGGCAGAGCCATTTCAGGTGATTTTAAAACAGTGTTATCCGAAAAGGAAACATTCTCCTTTCCTCTGAGGTATCATGAAGGGAAAGTAATGGAGAACTGGCCCAGCTTTCTCATCCTCAGAGCCTTTTATCTCTATTTTTCAGCCTTTCCCCCACATCTAATGTCTGGGAGTCTGTTTTGGAGTAGAGTGCTCAGATCTACAGTGATATTGAATTATAAGTGAATCAACTTTTCTGTGGATCCAAACAATCTCTGATCAAATTGTACCGTGCAAACTTGTGAATAAAAACCCATGTAGCATATGTAGCATTAGCTCTGTCTTTAAACAGTTACCTACACCTTTCCATGTCTTTAAGTTTCTAGAACCTTCTTCAGGGAACCAAGGGCAGAGTTTTTGAATGAAAGGAAACACAGTAGCAACACATTACCAAATGAGAAAGCATGCAGAAGCAAAGGATCCTGCAAGCCAATGATTCTCAGCCCCACTGATGCTGCAACCCTTTAACACAGTTCCTCATGTTGTGGTGACCCCAATCTCATTATTTTGTTGCTCCTTCATAACTGTAATTTTCTACTGTTATGAATCATAATGTAATTATCTGTGTTTTCTGATGGTCTAAGGCAACCCCTGTGAAAGGGTTGTGCAACCTCTAGAGGGTAGAAACCCACAGGTTGGGATCACTGATCTAAAGAAACAACTGTGCTCTTAAGAATTTTGCTATCCCATGCTTTACACTGATGTTTCAGCCTCCTCCTTCCGGCTGACATCTTTTATTTATCTATACATCATGGCAGCACCTACTCTTTCTCCTGTACTCAGGTGTCTCTGTTTGGGTGCCATTTTGACCTGAACCAGCAGGTCATTCTTCTGAGAGAGAAGACCAGGGGGTCAGATGATAAGGAGATGAAAGACAGAGAAGATAAAATTTTGGGTCTGGATGTCTTGCTCAAGCTATGTCTTATGTCAAGCAAACTTATTAAGATGTACAGCACCTTATATACTGCTTCCAGGAGACAAATGGGACAGAGTCAGTGGAATCTATCATACAATGGAACTAAGTCAGCAGGAGGCTAGTCAAGCAGTGTTATCCAAATGGAACACAGGCATTACAGACAGAGCATGAAACATCCATGAGACTGATAACTCTAGTCTCTTCGAGGTGAAAAGCCAAATTCTCAGCAACTGAATCCTTGACTCCCTTGATATTCCAGCCCCAGCCCCAGACTGGCCTTTCCAAGTCCAATCTGAGCAAGGACGCAAGGATGCCAGAACTACGTTCTTTTTGTCTTTTCATCAGGACGTCTGAGAAAGCCCTGGATTGGTCCAGATCTCAGCAGCACAGCAGATACAAGTGTTTGCTGTATGTGTGTGATTTCAGGGCTGACCACTTGGTATGATCCATTTGGTGAGCTCTTTCCTGGAGAAGGCTACTTCTACCACTCTCAGCATTCCTTAGTTGCCTGCAGTTCTTTCCCTCAGGTGGAGGTTCCATGAGAGTTGCCTAACGTTATATAGACTGAGCACATTATTTATATAATTTAGGAGTGTGTGTGTGTGTGTGTGTGTGTGTGTGTGTGTGTGTGTGTGTATGTGTGTGTGTGTAATAACAAAATAATAGACACCATAAACTTGAGAGAGAACAAGAAGGAAAATATATAAGGTGGATTGGCTGGAGGAAAGGGAAGGGAAGAATGATATGATTACATTGTAATTTCAAATTGTAAAACTGAAACTATAACAAGAGCATTTGCTGCTCTTGCAGGAGACCTGGTTCTGTTCCTGGTATTCACATGATGCCTTACAGCCATCTGTAAGTACAGTTTGGCCTCAGTGGGCTCCAGGCTTGCATAGTGATACTTATACATACATGCAAACATATTTATCTTTAGTACTCACCCAGAGGACCTGTGTTCAATTCCCAGAACCCACGTGGTACCTTAATAATGTCTGTAACTCCAATTCAGAGATCCAACACCTTTCTCAGGCATCCACAGCCACGAGGAATACACATGATACACTTATATACATGAAGGAAAAATTCCCAAACACCCAATATAAAAATATTCTTTTAATTAAAATCAAAAAATAAATCTAGTTCATAAGACATTTGGGGGAGAGTGGAACAACTAATCAAATTACTTGTAAACTTGAGAACATGAATTACTCCAATCCAAATTTACCTCCAAATGAATGGTGTTTTTCAGATACTCTAGTTTGTCTTGGGTTACAATGCTTGGGTATTAATGGACAGAGAGAGACGAGCCTGAGGTAAAGTACCACTGACCCAGAGTATTGAACATTACTCTGTGAGATGATTGTGATGTTTGTGATCACTGTTGGTGTCAGAACCTGGGCAAAAATCGGTATACCAAGTTTTTGGGGAATGTGCATGCTTAGAGAGGGACCCCAGCTAAGGTGCCTGTATGAAGTCCAATCCCATAAGATTAACAACTTGCAACTGTGAACAAATCCAGGAGAAGCTAATAGAGAGGAAACTTCTTTCCCATTGACTATAATTGAGATATTAATTTTGTGTTTTAGATTTGTCATAATTAAAACTGACTTTAAGAGAAATATTTTCTCTTTCACAGGACATACATGATGTGAGGAATTAAATATTTTGTTTCCTGAAGTATAATTGCTATATGATTCTGTTTTCATAAAACAGGGTGTAGTGCTAGCTTTGGATGTATAAATAAGATGAGCAGAAGACAAAATGATTCATTGGCTGATCTAACAATAGCACTCTGGACTCTCAGTGGGATTTTCTTAAACTAATAATATGGCTGGCAAAGATGACATGTCAGGTGCCTCATTCCTTTCAAAGACCAAATCATGTCAAGAAATCACTTTACAACTTTAAATACATTACACAAGACACAATACCACAAGAAGGTGTACTTAATGTGCCAAACACATCTACTTGTCTCCAAAGTCCTGTTTCATTTCATCATGATTCCATTTCCCAATGATGTATTTATCAGGTCACTTTATCTGACCTGTTCCATCATTTAATTTTATCCATGTAGTCTTGTTTACTGGTGCCATTATGCCACCCAATTCTTCCTTCTGCATGTAACTCTGCCCTCTGTCAGTATCACCATGGTGTTTTTCCTCCAAAGATCACGGGGAATATTCTCTTTAAAAGTGTTTGTCCATGTAGTACAGAGAAAAAATACAGATGCACATGGGGCTGCTTAGTATAAAATCTTCTGATGCATATGTATTGCATAAGATAATATTTATGTTTTATATAAGGTTACATGTGATGCTCTGCAAATGCTATTCTATTTTCTTCTCTCCTCTCATTCCTCCCTGTTTAACAGCAGACAAACCCAGGGAGCCTTGAATGAATCCGATGACCCTGAGACAGGCTGTCTAACTGATAACAAGCCAACTTCTCGACACTTCTACCCTGTCGCCTTGCTTCTCGTCAGTTCACACCTGCTTGTTGTGTGGCTTATTTTAAGTCTTGCATTACTCTTAGCCAAATACCAATAAATTTTATGCTGTGTTCCTTTATTTTCTACAAATGACAATGGACTTTAATTCTGGGAACTATGTTGTAATATTTCTACACTTTCAGATTCACAGAATTTAAAAACAAACAAACAAAAAAGGAAATGTTTGAATTGTGGTTTTTGTTTTGTTTTGTTTTTCCTAAAACCTAAAAGGCAAAAAGTACTATGCATTAAGTGAATTATTTTGCTCTCTTGTTCACCAAAAAGTGTTTTCCCACTGTTAAGTAGCTAAAGATGTGTTTTCAAATTACAATCTTTGGAACAAGACAAAGACTAGAATCCTGAAAGCTTGAAGTTCTGAACCTCCCCTTCCCATGTCATGCATTAAATAAATTAGGACTGACATTGTGCAACAGTTAAACCCTGAGACAATCTGGGAAGCAGGAGGGTGCAGAGTTTCTTTCCACTGTGCTAATAACATAGTTTCGATAAGCTGATAGAAGTGTGTCTGCTTTCCCACTCTGGTCCTCCTTGTCTCTTAGTCATTGCAGCTTTTAACCTTCTTGTGTCAAGTAACTTTATGGAAAGAATGGCTATTTATGTTTTGTAATTAAATTAACCTGTTTGTAACTATTGTTTGGGTTGATTTGGCTTTCAAACTACTTTTCTATTCTTTTTAACAAGGTCTCATTTGTGTCTTGATGCGCCATTTTTAGCACCTGTGACTTTTGTACTGTGGTTGAGGAAAACTCTTCTTTTGTGAAGCTGATATTTGGAGCAGGGTGCTGAGAAAGCCATCTGCTCTCTTCACTGCATAGCTAAAACAATGAAGTCAAATAGGAACAGAACTTCCTTTTAAAAATCTATAGGGCCAGACTTAATAAATTAAATGCCTTATTCCTAGAGCTGCATGCTTAGGGCTATGTGTAGATTTTAATGTGTTTTAAGGGACTGATAGATAATTTGTGGAAAAGTTATACAAAGGCAGATATATTTATGAAGCTAAAGTATAGATGTATTGTGGAACAAATTATATTTAAAGAGTTTATCAAAAGTTAAATATCTGTTAAGAAACTTAATCATATCTTTCCGAAGGCAATAATGGTATTGAGCCTGGCCTAGGATTTAATTTTTGTAAGATGTATCATCACATGTGGGGGAAAAATGTAGAGTTGAATCTTTGTTATTTTTACTTGGACTGTTGCTGCAACTCTGCATTGAACAAATAAAGCATATTTATTTATTCTGTGTTTCATGAAGTTGTACTTTTTCCCCTTTCACCAGAGAAGGATGCCGTATAGAGAATGTACTGAAGAATATCAAATGCAGAAGGTATGCTTTCAACATGCTACAGCTGATGGCTTTCCCCAAGTGCTACCGACCTCCAGAAGGCACTTATGGAAAAGCTGACACCTAAGTTTACCAACATGGAAACAAACAGGAATACAGATGCTTTGCGGTTGGAAGAGCTCCACTTCTGTCTTTTTTGCTTTTTATTGTTATGAGTTGTGGGGTGAGGTACTCCTGGGTGTCGCTCATATCAAAACCAATGCATCACTCATTAAGAAAGTGACCCAGCACCGCTATGTCCAGTCTATCTTTTCTCCCTTGTGTTAACTCTAACTGGTTGGGGTTAGTTCACAAAGTTCAATTCCGTTCATAGGGTATTTTAATTAAACAAAAACATGTCTCGAGGAAACAAAGTGGCTCCGATGGTACCAGAGGTGACTCAGCAAATGAATGCCACACTCCATCCAAACTGTAGAGAGGATGCTATTTTGGAGTCTTGACTGTAGACAAGCTCACAGCCTAGCTTATTGGGCTTTATGAAATACATGCATAGTAAATGCAATTAGGTAACATGAACCCAAAGATGGGTGCAAACATATCTACAAACCATGTCATCCAGTTCACATCTGATTCCACCTTATATGCTGTAGATAAAAGTGTGATTACAAGCTATAAGGCAAAACCATGGATCTTTGAAGAACTCTGATGTGGGCTGTGAAACCCACCTAGAGACACAGCAGCATGGAACCTTTAATGGTGTGATGGCAAAAGACTTCAAGGAACTAAAATTGTGAAGAAATTTAAGAATAGTGTCCATCTGCTGGTACCCAAAATGAAAATCACCAGCAGTTTGAATTTCATTTGGGAAAAACCATAGAAGTGAGAGACTTTCCCTGGCAGTCCTCCTATGTGTGAGTTTGCAATCTATCATAGGCCAATATATTTGTAATATGGAACACTATAACATATATGAGTCATAAACAGTGATAAATTTCACAGTAATTTTTAGTTAACCAGGATTTCAAATTTGTCCTTGTAGAAAAATACCCCCATATATAAAATTACAAACATTCCAAATTTGTTGTTTCCTTAGAGACAGAGCACATTGTGTAAGACCACCAGTCAAAGAAGTGAGTAAACCAAGGCAGTTCACCTTGATGACTGCAGAAAAGCAATTACAACCACCCATAACATCTAGCTCTTGAACTTCCTAGTCTGTGACGTCTGTCTTCTCTAGACCAACTACACTAGCTCTGAGAATTCACAGAGGAGAGTCAAGTGGAAATTAGGGTTTATCACTGGAGTTGATGCTTAGAGCAAAGTGATATGAACAAAATCTGTATTCTTCCAATTCACACTGGAAAATGTTGTTCTAAACGTGTCTCTGAAGACACTAGAGGTTCCCTACACAGACACCTCTTTGTTGTCACATCACTCAAGGGTTGTACTCTATGTCTTTGCAGGTAACACGATAGCTGGCCTAAGATGCTTGCCGTAAAGGTTTTCCAGATAGATCTCTAGCCCATGTTGAGTTTTCAAAAGTCTGAAAAAGATGATAAGCCCCTGAGACTTCTATGTGCAATTATCCATTTCTCATTTTAGATAATAGGCCTGTGGCTATTGCCAAAGCAGTTGCCAAACTGTTTGTACCCTTTAAAATGAAAAAAAAAAAGCATCTAAACATGGAAATAATTATCTTAGTGTTGTGAGAGCTACTCTCATTTCAGTGATTTAATGTAATCTTTTAACTATTAGATTTTTAACTAGGTGGTAGGATTTGTGGTTATTCTCATTACTGTATTGAGTTTAAGATAAAAAGAGGTGTGATGACAGAGGTTTTGTGTCTATTTCTGGGTTTTTCTTAGTAACTTCAGGGTAGATATGCATCCCAGGATATTTTATATGATTATTAGTTCATAAATATTTTATAAACAATTTTTGTTTATATATTTTTATAAATTAACCTTCTTAACTCAAATATGCAAAATATTTATTAACTGGAAAGCCTATAGTAAGGTTTTCCAGTTTTGTATGAAATTTCATAGGACAATTTTTCTTTGTCAATGAATGCTAATACAGAAATATCAAAGTTAGACCTGTCTATGTATACATACCAAATGAACTTTTATTCATTGGCAGCATTAGCATCATTTCCTATGGGAATCTTACACCTGTACACCCTTTCAATAGAGGATCTTACCAAGAAAATTCTTATTTCCTAAGCATGATTGCTCTTCTCCAAATGCACTCAGACAACCCCTGCATGATTCATCATAAATGAAATGTTTTAAGATCTCCCTTGTACAAACAGAGGCGCAGTCATGCAGTTCTATGAGCTGCTGTCCTACTGTTCTATCCATATTTTTACTGAAAATTTGTATCGCAGGCATATCTAGGGAGAGCACATGGAGTCAAACAATCAAAAATGACATTTTTAAACAATACAATCTTCTTTCTCACAAATAAGATTTTATCCTACTCTCATCAAATGAAGGTATCAATTCTGGATTAACTATTTACAGAGAACCAGGAGAAACATGCTAAAAGCACAAAAAGATAAAGCCATGATTATTATCCAAAAGTCTAGAGTTGTGTGCATGTCTTCCAGACAGCTAAATATATACTTGAACAATCTGATTGAAGCAGAGCCATAATTGTGTACACTGGTTCACTGAATTCCCACCTCTGCTTTCTTCCTAAATATTGCCTTGAGTTTACCCACACACTGCATAAAACATCTTCTAGATGCTAACATCTGGGTAAGTCTGATAATCCATGATGCAGATGATGATTATGTAAAATCAGGCCACTCACCACTCCTAATACTCTTGGTTCTGACAAACTGTGGCTCCTTGAAAGCTGACATTGAATGGATGATTCACCCACCCCTTCATATGTTAGGTGGTTTTCATAAAGCAAGACTCCAAACAGTAGAGGGGGAAACAAACATGATTTTTTTCTAATCAAATCAAATCCCTCCCTATGTAAATGTGCTGTGACAAGAGACATTCTCACAGGTGTGCCCAAACTGGCCCTAGATGACTCAAGATAAGTGATCATCAAGTTTTCAGGAATTTTACAGGCTAGTTGCTACACAGTGCCATGGCTAACTGTAAGGTGTGAAATGAATTTATTAAAAGTAAAGACGACCACAAAACTTACCATTTCCTGTATTTTAAAAAACCACATTTTGCAGTTTAACCCCTTCTAAATGTACTTGGCTCTGGTGTTCCTGAATTGGGCAAATGCTGTATTGTAATACACAACCGTGAATCTCCTGAATCCACATTTAAGAACACAATGTTAGTATCTTGTAATCAGCCACAATGGGACTATTTACACCACAGAAACTGGCAAATTCTATAAACTAGGATGTTTGTATCTTGAAATAGCAGTTGTTAAGCATTTATCAAATAGCGTATGGCTCAATACCGCTATAACATTTTTTCTATAGAAAATAACAAATTTTTGAAGGGAAGTTACAATTATTAGAATGAGTTTTTAATGAAGTAGTTTTTAATCAGAGTATTATAATTTTATGTTGGATTTTATTTTCTTTAATGAAATCTGCATGTATGTACAGTTGAGTGGAAACATTTTATTAATAATCATAATTACTAATATTGATCATTGTAATAATTATTAAAGGGATGAGTTTAAATCTATCAGTAATGTGATGCAAGTGGCCCTTAGCAAGATGGCCTTAGTGTAAATAATGTCAGGGCTATAGTCAGGAAAATGTTGTTAATC